TAAAATTAATAATTGGCCAACGCACGGGCTGCCTGTGCGAAGACGCTTTTTTTGCATAGCTCCCCGCAGATTTTTGTCGCTAACGGCACTGGTTTTTCTGGCAGATGCTTCAAGCTAAAAGAATTTCAGACGGGCCGTCAGAACTGTTAGGAAATATCCCTTCAAAATTCCAGTCTTCTAGCTTCTCAGATCCCCGAGTTAGCGACTTACCCGGAAAAAATTTTGGCGAGCCCGTACACGGATACCATGCTTACCCGTGGGATGGGCTTCAGTGCATTAATAAGTTCATAACTCAGAGATCTGAGAAGAGTTCTAGCTTCTCAGATCTCTGAGCTATGAACTTGCCCGAAAAAAATTTTGACGGGCCCGTACGCGGGTACAATGCAGGTAATGGCTCCCATTTTGGGGATTGGGGCCTGTACGTGCGTGTAGATTAAGTTCCCGAAATTTCAGCCCTGCAGATTTTATACGTCTTGAGATGAAAGTGCGTCACAAACGCACACACAAATACACAGACACACAGACACACGGACACACAGACAACCCCTCGTCAGTATGCGTTTCTGCATTGCATAGCTGCATAAAATGCATAATAAACGATCAGAAATGTTTCTGCCGTTGAATCGCATACATTTCTATTTAGTACCGCAACTGAACTTCGTCCAGCTGTTCTGTTATTGAAAAATTCAGTCTGCAGTGCACAGGCTTGCCAGTGTTTCAACTGAACTTGAAGCAATCAGGTCATTGGCTGCAAGTATAGTTGTTGTTTCCCGTTTAAATTGTGCATTAATTGCCCGTAAACCACCGTAAATTTTGTATAAAAGAACCCAGGTTTCTACTGAAGGGGGTTCTGGTAAGAGAGTTTTCCGCCGCATAGGCTCAGTTTCCTGCTTTTGCATTTTTTTGCTTTTATTCATATTCTCAAGTTTGCTTTAATTTACTTTTCATTGTGGTGCTGTGCTACTTCTTACCCTCTACTGCTATCTCCAGCTCTTGTCTCGACCTTCTGACTTGAATCCTCGTTCTCCTCCTTCACGCTGTTCCCAAATCCTGCCTGCACAGCAACATCTGAGCTCCTCTCCATCTCCATTATAGGAGCACTGTGAAAGCAAGCAGTATTTCCTCCTCTTCCCCAATCGCGGGGTATCCTTCGCAAAAACTAGGAGCACATTTCCTCCTTCTTTTCACCCATCACCTATCCCCTCTCCCTTCCAAATGTACAAAATCTAGCCGATCGACAAATGTTCTATGCTACACAGCCATTAAAACCGCCTACCCCAGCCCCTACTCTGCCTGCAGTACATCCCATCCGCCTTCGCACCTACCCAGTTCGAACTCCCGCCATCCGTAGAGGTGTCGTACTCACTATCAGCTTAAAAATTTTTTCGCAAATCGTGTATACGCCAGTTGGGCCGAGCCGAGTTTTGGTAATTGTACTGCTTTATGCGTGTGAATTTCGTGAGGGGTGTCGGGGGTATTCCACGTACGTTGGGGGGGAGGCGGGGGTACTCCGAGTGCTTCGGCTAGCTCTTTCCAGTTGTGTTTAGCACACTGGTCAGCCTGTTGGCTAGCGTGGCGGTTGTCTATCAGCTTAACATCTCCCCTGGCAGAAGCACTTAACGGGGCTTTAAACCGTCTGGAGGATGTCTTTGGTGTGTATGGATGTATAATATACGTACATTTCACGTATGGTTTAATAACCCAAATTTT